TTTTTATTATTTTTATTTCTTGAGGTTACATTTTCGATGCGTCACATGGAATTTGCGAGCTGATTAAGAATAAAATAAATTACTTAGTTTTCTCTGCTATTTCCTCTGCTGTTTTGTTATAGCTTTTAAATGAGTTTATTGCGCATAGCCAGGGTTCTCTATGCCCTCTAGATGGGTATCCACCCTTTCCATAGGCAAACTAGGATTGTCATTTTGCTGGGCATAAGGGAGCTCCTCCTTGCACCTTTTGAAGATCAGGGCGATGCACAAGGCCAAGCAAACGAGAAGTAAAACAACTGCCATTGATATAAGGCTAATGACTATGGAGCCCCTCAAGCTCGAGCAGTTGCGATTGTGATCGTTGCCAGAGGTGTAGCCTTCAATGCAGGTGCACTTCTCCGGCTCGGCACAGTAGCTATTGTCGCCGCACGGCTGGCTGCAGATGGGCATGCAGAGGTTGCCCTCACCCTCCCGGGACTTGTGCAAACGCTGTGGACCTCACACTCTGGCGCACATATGGGCGAGCATTGGTCCGCCGCATCCTTGGCATAGCCTTCAAGGCAGTCACACTCCTCGGGCCTGCTGCAGTAGCTGTTGGCCGAACAGCCCGCTGAGCACTGTGGCTCACAGTCCACACTCGCTACTGTCCTGCCACAGGCCACACAGATGGGCTGGCACACTTCCGCCTCCTCCGACAGCATATAGTCCGGGTGGCAGGCACATTTGCCTGGCTCGCTGCAATAGCCGTGCTCTCCACAATCTTGCTGGCAGAGGGGCTGGCAGATGCCTTGCTCATCCTGGCGATAGCCGTCGATGCATTCACAACGGTTTGGTTTCGTGCATTGCGCATGCGCGCCACACTCCACATCACACTGGGGCTGGCATACGCCCAGCACATTCTTCATATAGCCTTCATTGCACACACAAATATCCGGTCGATCACAGTGGCTATTCCGACGACAAGGTTTCGAGCATTGCGGCTCACATTGGTCCGTTCGATTACGCTGAGACCCTGGCACACACTCACAGCGTTCTGGTTGCACGCACTGCTCGTTGGCTCCACATGTAGTGCAGTGGGGTCTGCATAGACCCTCAGAGTCCTCAATATAACCCACATTGCATTCGCATTGATTGGGTTTGCCGCACTGCTGGTGTCGTCCACATTTCATTTGGCAGACGGGCTCACAGTTGGTGGCATTTGCCTTGGATCTCTGACAGCCGTGCAAGCACCTGCATTCACCTGGTTTGGGGCAAAAGGTATAACTGCCACAATTCCTGTCGCACTGGGGCCGGCAACGCGTTCTGTTCTCATATACTATCTCCATTTTGAAGCCGGCATGGCAAATACAATGAGCCCTTTCCCTCTCACGGCCCACACAATCCGCATGTAAACTGCATTTGGGCTCACAGATGGGTCTTCATTTCCCTGACGGCTCAACCTGTTAGCATATCAAATCTCTAAATAGTTCAGAGAATATGCTATCGAGAACACATACCACTACATTATAGAAATCTTCCTCCCGTTCTCTGGTAGTCATCGAACCAGTTGCATCCCATAGATTATGCTTCACTAGCCGCTTCATCGACTTATTCCTGGCCACCAACTCGGGCAGGCAAGCAGCTTTCATCGCATTCTGACATAAAGTACACTCAAATCGGATCATGAGCAGGCATAACGGAACAAGTACACGCCCATATCCTACGCCAACTCCAGACATTTTGTACGATATATAGAATTCAACAATACTTTCGTTCCAAGTTCAATAAGCAACTAATTCACAATCTTCGATTGCATACCTCATATAGCTTTGGCTTTATAATATTTAACCGCAAACATTATAAATACTACTTATATGCTTTGCAAATATCGGCAGAGATTAGATTACTTGACTCTTGAATGAGCAAATGAAACAAGCCTATATTTAAATCTCGCCCGCAGTAATGTAAGATAATTTTAGTTAATTGATTTGCTTTAAAATGCAGTTACCATCGACTGCATTAGAAAATTATGTAATATATTTCGATTCATAACTAACTATACTATATTATAATTATAAACAGTCATGTTTAGTGTCATAGTAATGTCTTTTTATTTTATTTTATTTTTTTTTATCTATATATATTTATATTGACAATCAATAAATTTTTGCTTTGCAACAACGTCTTTAATGTAGCATGTCAACTTTTTCTGCTTCCCTTATGATTTTTGAATATACATAATTATTTTTAATGATGATGATCTTTCTAAAGCTACACATAATTTAGAAGCATTTTTAATTCATTGAGTCCAATTCACATTGAAATATCATTTACAATGTATATGCCATTCGCTTGCTTTATAAATAGGTTGCATTTTTAACTTTATGTATGTAGGCAATGCTCTGTGCTGTGCCAGCTCTGATAAGCGGAATCTTGAAGTGCATTTGTTATATTCAATGTTAAGGACCGCTGCTTGACTTCGGGCCATATCACAAGAAAAACAAAAAGGAATGCACGCCAGCTTTGAGAGTGAGATGAGGTCGTTGTTTTGGCCACTGAGGGTTCAACAGACGTATCATATATAGAAACATGCATTTATATGGGGAGAGAAAGAGAGAGAGAGAAGCCTGATAAGCTGTAGCACAAACACAAGTCTGGTCTGAACTGTCTGTAATAAAAATCTCATTTGTCAGTTCATTTGTTAATTGTTCATTAAAGCGAATGGTATTGCGTTATCCCAGAAATTAGAAAGTAGAAAGTGTAAAATGTTGCGTCTACTCATAATATGCTTAATCAGCTCGCTGTTGATTTGCCTGCAAATCGATGCCTGTACGGAACGTGTGCCGTAAGCTCTAGTCGAATTTCATAAAGATATTTTCAATCTACTTCGATATTAATTTGTGCAGAATGATGAAAATGAAAGTGAGTCTCGTGACCATGCGCAAATATCACGGATTTACCAACTGCACCACCGACTGTGGACCTCTGGTTGTGCGACCCATCAAAGAGGTGTGTATAAAGTGAAGTTACGAGGTGTAGTGCGAATGTAAAGAGAGAATGGAAGTTAATTAATTAAATATTTAGAAATTAAAATATTAGAAAATTATATATTTTTAAAATTACATATTTTTCAAAATATTCCATTCATTCCTAGTGTATACATTTTTTCAAGCTCTTATCATATAAGTGAATCCGTATATTTTTATTCGGCAATTGTATTTTAAATACGTTTAATTTTATTATTTTCGTTAAAATTGACTAACTAATTTGATCAGCTGTGCATTAAGGATCAAGATCAGTTGAACCTCTACCTCTACCTCTACCTCTACCTTTACCTCTACCTCTACCTCTACCTCTACCTCTACCTCTACCTCTACCTCTACCCGTGTCTATAACTATCTTTCTCTTTCTCTGTCTTTATCTTTTTCTCTCCCTCTCATTCTATAATATCACTGCTTCCCTCTCTTTTATACAAGACCTACATGTCATTGGAGGACGTTTGCTGTGAGGGCTACGAGCGCAAGGAGGAAAAGTAAGTAAAGTCTTAGAACCAACTTGGAACTTACTATGAGTAAATCTCTTTCTCTCTCTCTCTCTCTCTCTCTCTCTCTCCCTCTCTTTTTCTTTTTCCTTCCCTCTCTCTGTATGCCTCTTTCCCACCGCTAGCGGCGAGTGCTTGCCCAAGTGTCATGATTGTGGAGCAAATGGCAAATGCCTCTCGCCCGAGGTGTGCCTCTGTGATCAGGGCTACAGCAATCGGGCGAATCGCAGCATTTGCCAGCCCGTCTGCAGTGAGCCCTGCGTGAAAGGCAATTGCGTGGCTCCGGATGTTTGCCAGTGCGCCAATAACTATCGGTTGCGCAACAACAGTCTATCGGTTTGCCAGCCCGTTTGCAAGACCAGCGAATGCACAAACGGCATCTGCCAAGAGGACGGATCCTGCCAGTGTCGGCGTGGCTATCGCCGCAACGCGACCCTGGACATGTGTGTGCCCGACTGCCCGAATCTGGCGGAGCACAGCGACTGCATTGCACCGAACGAACAGCGCTGTCACGAGGGCTACGAGGGCCACTGGGATCGGGAGCAGAACTACCGCTGCGAGCCCATCTGCAGCAGCGGCTGTCGTAACGGCAAGTGCCTGGAGCCTGAGCACTGTGCTTGCAACGTGGGCTTCGGCCACGTTGGCAATCGAGTGGGTGCGGGCTGTGAGCCCATCTGCCAGCCGGCGTGCATCAATGGCACCTGCGCCGCTCCGAATCATTGCCTCTGCCAGCCCGGACATGTCCCAATGAACGCCAGCCGTCACATTTGCACGCCCAGCTGCCGGCAAGGCTGCGAGAATGGCGTCTGCAGTGCGCCCGGCGAATGTGCTTGCAATGAAGGCTACAAGAAACTAACGCCGCATCGTTGCACGGCCAGCTGTGATCCGCCGTGTGGCCTCAATGCCCGTTGCACGGCGCCGGACACCTGCAGCTGTGATGAGGGCTTCGTCCCGGTTAATGGCAGCAGCACTCAGTGCGAGCCGTTCTGCAGCAAGGAGTGCTACAATGGCATCTGCAGCAATCCCGAGGTCTGCACCTGCCTCAACGGCTACGAGGCGATCTCGCCCTACTACTGTGTGGCCAAATGCCGTCGCTCCTGTGTCTTTGGCAGCTGTGTGGCGCCCGACAAGTGTCGCTGCTTCAACGGGCACCGGCCCAGCGCTCGGGATCCGTTCGTCTGTGAGCCCATCTGCAGTGAGCCGTGCGGCCACGGACGTTGCATTGCCCCGGAGATATGCGAGTGCGAGCCGGGCTATGCGAAGCGTTGGCCCAGCGGCTCCTGTGAACCCTATTGCAGCCAGAAGTGCATCAATAGTCGCTGTGAGGGCGGCACCGGACGCTGTCGCTGCTACGAGGGCTACCGTCTGCGCGAGGGCTCCAGCTCCATCTGTGATCCGATCTGCTCGCCCAGCTGCAGCAACGGCACCTGTGTGGAGCCCAACAGCTGTGAGTGCTGGCCGGGCTACGAGGACACCAAGCTCTACTACGAGTGCAAGCCCAGCTGCCGGCCGAGCTGCCAGAATGGGCGTTGCGTGGCGCCGGGTCGTTGTGAATGCAATCCGGGATTTACGGCCAGCAATGCGAGTGAGCCGCATGTGTGTCGCTCCCAGTGCCAGGAGCGCTGCATCAACGCCGAGTGCCTGCGTCCAAATCAGTGCATCTGCCTGGCCGGCTACAGTTTCATAGCCAACAGCCGCAGCGAATGCGCCCCCGACTGCAGCCAGCCCTGTGACGAGGACAGCGTGTGCGTGGCACCCGAGATTTGCGAGCGGCGTACGTACCGTGCTCTTAGCGTAGACGGATCCGGAGGCTACCCCAAGTGGAGCATGCTCTGCCTGGCCTTGTTGCTCTGCCTCTTCCTCCTAATGCTGCCCATGATCCTGACGCGTGAGTACCTGCAGCGGCGTAAGTCGAGGAAGGACAAACAGCGCGTTCACCTTATCGAGAATCCCAGCTATGGTGTCTGCTTGGCGGCCAGCGAGGAGCTGCCTGCGGATCAACAGATTGGATTAGGCGACTGAGTCAACAACTACTTATCGATAACATATGTTTTTAAAACGAATCGATCATTTACATCTGTTTGTATGAAATATTCATTTCATTACTCCGGTTTTTATATACAAGCGTACTTTTTATATAATCTATAATCTATAATCGTTAACTCACTAGTTCTAATGAGCATTTTTTGTATAATCGATAGCACACATGCAATACACATAATAATCGTTTTTTAAGACGATAAAACACGTTTTTATATGATCGTTAGTTAACTTTTGTCACTGTTGTTAATTATTAAATACGTTATACATTTTACAGCAATGTAAAATATTAATTATTAATCTTAAATATCGATAACTGATCGATTTTTGCTCGTTATAATTATCATTCTGTTATCAGAGCACTCTTTATTATTATATTCGTAATATCGTTGATTTTTATAGGATGCCTGTTTTTATAGTATGCTTTCAGCATGTATATAGAATGTGAAATAAATGTTATTTTAAAGTTGTTTATGTGGATTGATTATATTTTTAAAAGCCAAGAACTTGAAATCTAATAATTTTAAAAACTTCGAATCCAATTTAAAAAATACAAATTTTATTTTTAATGTATTTTAATAATATAAATAATGAACTGAGAATGTAATATAGATAAATATGTATTGAAGTTTGGAGATAAAAAGTAATGTTTAAAACTTAATAAACAAAATTTAAATAAAAAAAAATTATAAAAAATA